AAGAGTTTCTTATATTTTAGATGTATGAATAATATCTATGCCTACCACCACCGGTAAACAAGATGACTCTAGAAGAAACCTGGATATATTTATATAACTAGTCACTTATTATTTGTTTTTACAGTTATCTTCCATTTTAGGAAAGTGATACTGATTTTCTACTTATGGAAATGACTTAAAGTTTTCTTCTAAAATAAATGTTAAGCTTAAAAAGCGATTTAAAGAAAAATTTTAAGTAAATAATAGTGTAGGAAATATTCAGATATGTCAAAAATCACAGTTCCTCATCTGTCTAAAGTGTGAGAAACTCTCTTGTACTGTTCCATAATGAAATAACAAGAAACTGACTTTCCTTAACATCAGATCTGCTTTTGCAGTTTTGCTGATTACACACAGGAAGTACAGCTTACATAACATTACATGTATTACATTTAGCTTTTCCCCAGCAGCCCCTTAAAACCAAGCCTGTGCTTTTTCCAAACACTTGGGCAGTTTTGAGATCGGCCTCCTTTTGTAAAACGATTTGTGTGGATCTTGAGATGCTGTGAGCTTGTCATCTCTTCTTGAGAGCATCACGTGGTCTTTCTTTCTCTGTCAGCCTTTCAAGTTAATTATTTCCTGTTTTTCTGAGTCTGTTCCTTATCCCCTTCCCAGGCCACCCTCTACCCTCACCTTCACGCACACTCTTGGCCCCCCAGCAGTTCCATAGCAAATTGGTCTTTGTCTCTTGGCCTGTCCTAGAACACCTTCCAATAAGAGCCTTGAAGTTAACTCCATGGCATAGCAATCTCAGAGCAAAAATTTATTGTTACCGTAGAATCAGAAGTTACTTTTAGAGTTACTTTTTAGTAACATTCCTTGTAACTCACTGACCTTTTGTTCTCTTAGTCCCTGCCTGCTAAGGTACTGTGTGAGCCAATCTGCCCAAGATGTTTTCTCTCTCTGTGACTGCTTGGAATCTCTGGCATGAGTTATACTGTCACTCCTCTCAGAACTCCCACTTTGAACTTGAGTTTCCCAGCAAACGTTATCTGTTTTTTATGTAACATTGTTTCTACTGCTGTCCCATTCCTTCCCATCAAGGCCAGAGCCTGCTCTCCTCCTGCTACCCTTGTTTTTAACAACTCAGGTTGCTAAACTGAGCTGAGTTGTACCCCATAGAACTTCATGCATAGAAGCCACTCCATTCCTGTGGTCTTTGCTTCCTTGTTCCCATGCCCAGAAATGTTCCCAAACTAGGCTTTTATGGTCATCCAGCCTTAATTTTTCCAAATTTTTTTCCAATCTCAGTTAAGGTTTCAACCTAAATCTCTAGTCTTAGTGGTCGTCCTTTCCCCCAGCTCCACCCCACTTTTTCTCTCCCCTCCTTGTCTCCTCATGTGCTCACACCTGAGCTCTTTAACATCTTTTACCTAGTGTACAGTTTCCTGGCCATCTATTTCTGGCCTACTACAAATTAAAGCATAAAAAGCCCTTACGATAATTGTGTTAGTGTGTGTATTTGTCTGTGGTATATATGAACACATTGAAAGTGGGAGAAAAACGGGTATAAATAATAAATAGACTGTCCATCACTATTTGAGGGAGAGGTAAGGAGAGAGGAGAAAAGCCTAAGAGGCTCCCAGCTATTCTTGTTAGCATCTTGAACATATGTCACCTTGCAACCCAAATCTGTACCATTTTCAAACACTGCTTAGGCAACGAAGAGCCTTGATGCTTATTGAGGACTTTTCTTTGTTTTTTTTTTTTTTTTTGAGACAGAGTCTCTCACTCTGTTGCCCGGACTAGAGTGCTGTGGCATCAGCCTAGCTCACAGCAACCTCAAACTGTTAGGCTCAAGCAATGCTTCTGCCTCAGCCTCCCGAGTAGCTGGGACTACAGGCATGCACCACCATGCCCGGCTAATTTTTTCTATATATTTTTAGTTGTCCAGCTAATTTCTTTCTATTTTTAGTAGAGACGGAGTCTTGCTCTTGCTCAGGCTAGTCTAGAACTCCTGAGCTCAAACGATCCACCCACCCGCCTCAGCCTCCCAGAGTGCTAGGATTACAGGCGTGAGCCACCACGCCCTTATTGAGGATTTAGAGAACTACTTTCCTGTTAAGAAGAGATTTTTAAAATTGTGTTTTCATTATGACTACATCTCCATTTATTGATCAAGGGATTTCTTGCCTCACTTAACTCCATAATCTGTTATTCAGATTAAAAAAATATGGAAACTATTGTTTTGCAGCACGAGTATAGACTTTAAAGTGATAACCTAGAGACTGGATAATTCAAATACTATAATCCCAGAAAAGCAACTAATTGATCATGCAGAACGTGTTTTTATGCATTAGTCTTTACGGATCAAGCATGCGATGAAACAAATCGGATTAAATGTTTTAGATGTGCTATTATACAAGTAGGAACTTCCTAGTGTAGAAATAGAAAGCACTAAGTCAAAAGATAGGAAATAATACATGTAAAAAGCCCTTAATAAAGAAATAAGTCATTATTCATTGAACAGATTTTAAGCACTTGTTATGTTCTTTTTCATGCAGGAAACAATGGTAGGTATAGTAAGTTTTCAGTTTACTATATATTAAAGAGCAGAAAAGTGCCCCGTATTTTGGGATTTCCTTTCTTGCACCATCATTACTATACAGCTATGCATATATGCTTTTTAGAGGAGATACCTGTATGTTCACTGTTTACCTTCTACCCTCTACTTTGCCAGCCTGTTGGCTACTTTATTCCTCATTAATTCTTCCTCAGGGCTACCTGGGAAGGGAAAGGATGTGAACTTCAGGTCAGTCAGGCAGGCATTCTTAGCAACCAAACCAGTTCAATTTCTGTACAATAAACTTGAAAGACCTATCCAAATACTTTTGTGTCATTTCAGATTTTGTTCCATCCAATTGATTGAACACCCCTGTCAATTAAAGCTTGGACATCTTGAGATTTGGTTGTTAATAGTTATAACAGTATTTGACCTGTTTCTGGAAGGTTTTGTAGGACTTTAAACTCACTCTAAGAATCTGTATGGAGAACAAAGGAAACTATAATTTGCTCAGTACCTATTACATGAGAGAATCTAAACTGTGCAGTCTACATTGCTTTTTTCTTTTATGATTTACAATTACCCAGAAAGTGAGCAATATACCCATTTTATACATGTGGAAACTGAGGTTCAAAGATACTCTGACCAGCCTCTCATTTCATAAGGAAAAACCTAGCTAACAGCCTCCAAAGTACAAGCCCCTTACAAAGGAGGATTGGAGATTGCTGGCAGCTTTTATGAATCTATGCTGTCCACGTTTAACCTGAGAAATTGAAAGCTGACCCTGTGTTCTTTTCAAAAATCTCCTAGGAAGCCGGCTGCAGAGACTTCATGGATAACTCATGAGAAACAAAATGCTTTTGTGGAATAAAACTGTCTTTATTTCAATGTTCTTTCTTCTTCTTCTTCTTAACAAAAGACAAAAAAATCTACCACTAACACTTAAGAACCCTCACAGAATAGACGTCTTTGGATTGGGCTGTGCAGACTACCAAGGCAATGGTGACAGCATTATGGCATTTTGGCCTAAGATGTCAAAGAGATGTAATGAACAGCTGGGGATTTCTAAGGCACAATTGTGTGACACAGGAAGCCCAAGTGTTGCCCATCCTCACTGAGGGCAGCTGCTGGGCTCGGATTTGTTAAAGCAAATCTCATCCCTCGCCTTCAACCAGGCGGGTGTCACCAGCTGCCGCAGCGCCCGCGGCAGCCCTCTCCTTTCCACCCCCGCGCGCCCGCCAAGGCCGAAGAGGCCCCAACGCGAAGGCGCGCGCCCTTGGCGCATGTGACGGGGTGGGGGAGCAGTTTTCCTCCTAACCTCCCCCTGCTCCAAACCCCACCTTCTCCGGAGAGGCCGCAGCTTTCTATTGCGCCACCACCTGAATGACCTTGGTGCCAACCAATCAGGACGTGAAGACTCAAGTAAGACCCGCCCCCCGTGGTTCTCAGGTTCCTTCCCGCTCACACCGGAGTCACTTCCGAAGAGAGAACCGCCATGAAGATAGAAGGGGGTGCCGCCCACCTCTGCTCCGACAGTCTCCCCGAGTCCCAGCAGCAAGACGGCAACCACGCACCCAACTTCTCCAGCCACAGCTCATGCCGCCGTCGCCAGCGGCGCCGACATGACAAGGCGCTGCATGCCCGCTAGGCCAGGTTTCCCCTCATCCCCAGCCCCGGGGTCGTCGCCCCCGCGCTGCCATCTGAGACCCGGTAGTACCGCCCCTGCTGCAGCGGGAAAGAGAACAGAGAGTCCTGGGGACAGGTACCGTGCAGAGGGCTTGAGAAGGGGCCGGGTCGCGGGGGCAAGGGTACAAGGGGAGGACTGCAGACGGCCGCTCTTCCAGTTCCCGCCATCCTCCGCGAGCTCAGGCCTTGGCATACTGGGGCCTGGCAAACCGCCGCCCCGCCTCCGCGCAGGGGCTTCTGGGAGTTGCAGTTTCCTTTTCTGTAGTTGGGCAGCTGCTCGATGGCTACGGAGAACCCGCCTTAGGTAGAACGTGATTTTTGTCCTTTAAGAAAGCTTGACCCGGGGCCCTAACTGCTTAATGCATATTTAGGTCTTTTTTGGTATGTTCTCAGTTCTGCTGATCCTAGTGGTTTAGTAGTATTAACCTTTTCTGTGTTGTGGGTGAAATTATGTAAGATGTGATGAGGAAAGCCCTTCCACGAATTACTTTGTCGTCCGGTGGCCACGCTAATTCATGCCTAAAAGAACATGCAAATTTGGAATGTGACATGTTTTCTCTTTCAGTAACTTTACGCCTCTCCAAAAGGCCGATTTTTTTGTAAAGGTTTTTTTGGGTCTGTGTAATGAGATGGAGAGTTTCATCAAATGACATCCTCTGACAATAAAACATGTTTAAATTCTCTACGAACTTGGTACTGTCTTTTTTATTTTAAGTTTAAAAGCTTGTAACAGAAGTTTAACAGTAAATTCATGTCCTAATATTGTGGTATAGGTCCACAATCCCTTATCTTAATTCTGAAAGCCAGAAAGCTATGAAAACCAAATGCTTTCAGTAGGTTTGGCACTATGTCTTACTTGGCAGCCAAACCTGACCACAACTAATGTAAGGTTGTTTGTGGTCTTACCATTAAGTGTGAATATTCATAAATTTTGCTGGAGAAATATCAATGGGTTCATTACAGATTGCTGCACCAGACCCCACTGGGGGCTTTACATAATGCATCCCAGTTATCCCTTTTCTAAAATCCGATAAATTCAGAATTCTAAAACACATTTGGCCCCTAAAAGTTCAGATAAGGGTTTGTGAAGCTGTTAAAATTGGTTTTTCTGACCAGTTATTTACAAATAATTATGTATTTCTGTACATATGAACTTAGGGAACTATTACCTCTTGAAAGTTACATTCCTGGTTATTTTATAGGTTTCTTGTGTTTTACCCCAAACCATTTTTCTCTTTCTGATGTATTAATCTTTCGGATATGTTGATCAAAAAGGAGCCTAGGATCTAATATTTTAGGGAAGAGATATAATGTTACATATCATGTTTAGTAATTAACATAGAATGTATTTAGTATTACCTTGTTTTGAATGAATTAGCTACTTCTGGGTCCTTTCCCATCTCTCCCGAACACAGTAACAAGGCATCATCCTTCTCCCCTTTGCAGAACCTCTAGCATTTCTTCCTTCACTCTTTGGTGGATTTAATTCGCCTAATATAATTTATTTTATGTAACAAAAATGCATGTATTCTTCATAGCCCGTCACTCATATTCATCTCATAACCACTTAGCTTTTCTACCAACATCTCAAACACACTAGAATCTCAATAAACCAGTAAAGATGTGCAGTGCTTTTCTATCATGATCAGTAAAGTATACAGGAAGCTTAACCTTCAAAGGACTTGGATTGTTCAAGTTTTCACTGAGTATTCCAACCTCATAGTAGATAAAGGTTTAGGTAAGCCAGTAGTCTACAGCTTATTCTCTTTAAGTAAAATGAATTCATTTTAGGAAAATTTGCCAGAAAGTTAACTTTTTGCCCTGTATATGATAACATCCCCCTTTTTGCAGCTGACAACTCTAAATGCATGAAGAAATCAGAATACAAATTCTGCTAATGTCCTATTTGATTTTAGCGTTATTGCCACTATGAGAACTTGATAGGATAGTGAAATCCAGACTTTAGGATACAGAAATCCTTAAAAATTAAAGCAATTTGTTTTTTGTTATTTTTGTTAACTTTCTTCCTTTTTCCTTGTCTTGTGTTTTTCCCAGGCAATGTGTTATCTTTGTAAACATCTTAGGGATTCTTAGATAAAAAATTAAGAATTTGAAAGTACTTATTTAGTTGTTAAGGCTCACTCCAATTTCTGCTGTTACTTAGGTTAACATTTTGCTGTAGTATGTAAAGAGGGTAATAGAAATTTAGTACTTGATCCTTTCTGCCTTTGCCCAGCACACTCCTCACCTGCCTCCGCAGATCAACTAAATCACCTGGGTTGCCATTCTACCATTTACTGTTCTACTCTTGTTATGAGTGTCTGTTCAGGTTTTACTCCATTTTTATAATATTCGTTATTCAGCATACATCTATTGAATGTTATTTTATACCAATCCCTGGAGAGGTCAACAAATAGGATCGTATGCCTGTCCCCAAGTTCTTCCATTCTACCATGCAGCAGTGAGCATTTTACTTCTAAGAAGTACTCTGTACCAATTCCTTGGGTCTATACTACAGTCTTACCAGTTTAGTATTACGGATTATATAAGCCTCGGTTGTGTTTTTATAAATAAAAATCCTATAGGAAGTGATGAATTATATTTTCAACTTTTTTATGAACAGCTTAACAAAGCATGATTGCCATTGTCAGAACTTGATTAGTTAAACCAGATTGTGAAATCCAGCCTGTATTTTATTAAATATAAATCTTACATTCTCCATTTAATCTGAATTACTGAAGTTTTAATATTTGCTATGTGATGCCATATTAGTTATGCTTTTATTTTCAGGAAGCAGTCAATTATAGATTTCTTCAAACCAGCTTCAAAACAAGGTATGTATACTGTTAATGACATTTTTTGTGGGATATTTTGAGGGCAAGGAGGAAGATGGATTTAACCTACTCTAAACGCTTTTGTTTGATTAAACGTAGTGTTCAAAATTGAAAATATAATGAAGATGCAGTGTTTGTTTACAAAGATAAACTTAAGTTTTAAGTATCATGAAGAAAATCTTTTTGCTGTTATGCTTTCTTACATTTAAAATATTATTCCAATCAATAATTTAATGTTCATAATGCATACTATTTTGATTTTCTAATACAGTAACTAACAGAGCCATAGGAAGGTACATGATGTAGCAAAAGGGAGCTTTATGAAAGCAAGGCTCTTAACAAATCATGCTTTAATTTCTCTTACACCCCTCCCAATAAAATGTGTATTATTATCCAAGTATTATTGGTTTGAAAATTTTTGTGGTTGCTTTAATATAATTTAATTTAGCATTTTAAATGTGAATAATTGAGGTCAAATATGACTTTTTTCATTTAGAACAATTCAAAACATGTAAGAGATAAGTATTAATATAAAATGTAAGTGTTATTTTTAGTAACATGCAATTTGTATATGTTTCAATTGGCTATTTAGACAGACATATGTTGGATTCTCCACAAAAAGCAAACATCAAATATGGAGGAAGTGGATTGTCCATCACTGGGACAGAGCAGTTTGAGAGGAAACTATCGTCACCAAAAAAATCTAAACCCAAAAGGGTACCGTCGGAAAAGAGCCCTATTTTAGAAGCTTTTATGAAAGGTGTTAAAGAGCACCATAAAGATTGTGATGTACATGAGTCACGTCGGCCTTGCGTGTCACTAGTCTCCAAATGTTTATCCAAAGGAACAAATATCTATGTTCCTTCTTCATGTCACTTGTCAAAGGAGATGAAGGCACTAAAGAAAAAACATCGATCTCCAGAGAGGAGAAAGTCGCTGTATATTCATGAAAATAGCAGGGAGAAGAATGATAGAGAGCGAGGCAAGACGAACGCAGACTCCAAAAAGCAGGCCACAGTCACAGAAGATGACATGTTCAAGAACAGCTCTAGAAGTCTTAGCAGCAGAAGCAGCCAGTCCAGGCACCAACCAGGAGAAAGTCCACTGGGAGCTAAGTTCCAGTTGTCACTAGCTTCTTACTGCAGAGAACGAGAACTAAAGAAGTTGAGAAAGGAGCAAATGGAGCAGAGAATCAACTCAGAAAATTCTTTTTTAGAAGCAAGCAATCTTTCCTTCAAATCCTCTAGTATAGAAAGAAAATGTAAACCAAGGCAGGAACAAAGTAAACAAAATGATGTCATACCTGGAAAGAGTAATCTTTCAAACGTGGTATGTGCAATAATTATTGAATTAGCTTTGCTACTGCTATATCATTTTTATAATACTGAATCTAAAAGTATTTAATAATTGTTACATCACATTGGTATCTTTCCTTAAGGAAACACTGATGCACAGTTCGTATGTATGTTGTTATCATTGGGTTTCCTCCAACTGCCCTTCATTGAACTCAGTAAAACAATGTTTCTTGCTCTTAATTTTTTTCAGATCAAGGACAAAGATCTTTTTTAGTGGGAAAAGTAAGCATTCTTTTTTTTTTTTTTTTTTAAGACAAGTATAGTCATTTTTAAATTAGACTCTGCTGATGAGAAATACTTGAGGAATGCTGGCCGGTGCGGTGGCTCACACCTGTAATCCTGGCACTCTGGGAGGCCGAGGCGGTAGGATCGCACGAGGTCAGGAGTTCGAGTTCGAGTTCGAGAAATAGTTGAGGAATGGAAAATCTAAAAGAGCAGGATTACATAGGATTTACATTGTATTAAAAAATAATAATAAAAGAGCAGGAAACAGTTTAGAGCAGTGGTTCTCAAAATGCAGTTCCTTCACCAGCAGCAGTAACATCGACCTGGAAACTTGTTAGTAATGCAAATCCTCAGGCCCCGCCCCAGACCCACTAAACCAGCAGCTGTGGAGGTAGAATCCAGCAATCTGCAATTAACAAACCGTCAAGATAATCCAATTCAGTATGACTCTTAGGAAACCTAGAAGATGATGGTGACTTAGAAAGCTGTCCAAATTCATCTTAATCTCATCAGATTTTTTTTTCAGAAAGACCACATTTAGATTAGCATAAAAGCTATCACTTTCCTCTAGAAAGTCAAGTTGTTAATCTGAAATTGCTTCTCTACATACAGAACAAATAAAGGAAGATCAGATGTCAAGAAAGTGCAATGTTAATAAGGTGCTAGAAAATTTTAAAACCAGATAGACCAAATATAAACCAAACTATGACATTGTCGGAGTGAATAGAGATTACTGCATTGTATATTACTGGAAGATATATTTGTAAATGTACACCCTAAGGCTTGTTTGCAAGGAGTTTGATGCCTTTCCCAGTGAGATTTGCTAATGATTAGTAGAGGTTAGTAATATTTGGCCCATTTTTTATAAGATTTCAGTGTTTGACTGTGCATCAGACCTTAAACAGAATTATGGGAGAGTGAGTTCTATCCATTTGATTGGCAATATTAGGGTTGTGATTTCTTTATCAAAATAATAATATAATGTCTAATATAATATTAATCTGGAGTTATTGATATAAATCTCTAAATCAGCATTATGAAAACTGACTTCATTTTTAACATTTTTATGATACAAATGCCTCTTTTTTGATAAAACTTAAGACCTTTAAATATTTTATTATCAAAGTTAAACTTTTACCTCCAAATATAGGTGCTTGCTTTATTTAATCTAGAAATCTGTGTTTAAATGTTATGAAGAAAAATTCACATTCTTTATTGCCCCCAACTCCTAATTATTTTTTTCTCATTTTGCTAATAGGAAAATGGACATATCTCAAGAAAAAGATCCTCTTCTGATTCATGGGAACTTACTTCAGGTAGAATCAAAATTAAATTTCTGAATTCCTATTAATACATTTTCTACTTTTGGTACTACTTAAAAAGTACAGATTTGTTTAAAAATGTAGTTCCTTTCCTAGAGGTGAATTGAGCATCTCATATTAATTAGGACTTTGGTAAAATTATATTCAAAAAGAATAGTCCCTAAATTTAGTATGTACAATTTGTGGTTTGTCTTTAATTTTCTCTGCCTTCTTCAAGAGTTCCTAACAATGTGTTTCTCATATTGGCATTCAGTGTTCTACTTCTGAATCCCTGGCTACATCAAGAAGCATAATCTTACATTCTTGGAATTGTGGACTATCTGAGGTCTTGATACTATGTTGAAGATGCTTTGTTTAAGGTTGAAACTGTTACCATATCCAAGATAGTGTTTCCCAATATTTCAAATACAAAGATCCCTTTTTAATAGCAAATTTCAGGGACATCCACATGATATTTTAGTAGCTATTGAATGAGAAAATACATAGTAACAAACAGCTACTGTTAATTCAATACTCCTTAAAGTATCTTTCCTTTCTTTTGTAACTAGAAAATAGAACATTAAAATTCAAACACTGCAGAAATTTGTAACACAGAAAGTGAAAGGCCCCCAGAAATAAAAACTGTTAATAGTCTGGGGTATCAGATTTTTTTTTCCTTTGATCCTCACAATCTTAGAGACGAAAAAAACAGAGGTACAGATAGTTCTGACTCATTCTTTGGGTTTCATGTATTACTTCATTTTATTTATATTCTAGAGGTGCATTGCATTTGACCAAGCACTCTTGACTGTTAAAATCAATCTTCAGCCAAGGCTGAAACCATATTTTACCATCATAGAAGGAACTTCTAGGATACAGGAATAAATCTGAAGTTTTATGTGTTTTTTGTTTATTTAATTTTTACAATGTTGATTTTATGACCAAATTTTGGTGAATTTTGACAGCATTGTACAGGAACGATAATTTCTCAGCCAGGAGATTGCTCCTGTACTCACTGCATTGCACATTTGTCGTACTAAATAAATGATTACTTTGCCCTGAGGTGAATGGAAGAACAAAATATTATTAGGCTAGCTCTGCAAGTAGAAAGGGCTGCTGCTCGTGATATTGCCACCAAGTTATTCAGCTTTTTTCTCTGATAATGACAAGATAAAAACAAAATTATTCTCTTCATTTCCAGGATTTGCAAATTTCATCCATGGTGGCTGAAGTAGTTTCATTTATATAATTCCACATACTGAAGTTTTTTTTCTTTGTGTTAGGAACATTCCAATTCCACTCTTTTAGTTATTTTAAAATATACCCTAACTGTTGATTATAGTCACTTTGTTGTGCTATCAAATATTGTTCATTCCATCTAACTACATTTTTACACCCATTAGCCATCCCTACTTTACCCCCACTCCCTGCTGCCCTTCCTGAATAATTAAAGAGTGAATTAATGAAACATCACATTTTTAAGCACAATATGAATTTTTAAAAACTGGTTAACTAAAACATAGGTGGCTATTAAAGTGCTTCTGGGTGGGGCTATAATAAATATAGACAGCGTTGGGCCAAGCACAGTGGCTCATGCCTGTAATTCCAGTGCTTTGGGAGGCCAAGGGAGGAAGATCACTTGAGCCCAGGAGTTGAGGCTGCAGTGAGCTATGATGGTGACACTGCATTCCACCCTAGGTGACAGAGCAAGACCCTGTCTCTTAAAAAAATATATTACACACACAGAGCTTGTATTAGTTTCCTAAGGCTGCTGTAACAAAGTACCAAAACCAGGGGGCTTAAAACAACAGAAATTATTGTCTCACAGTTCTGGAAGCTAGAGTCTGAAATCAGGGTATCAGTAGGGCCCTATTCTCTCTGGCAGCTCTAGGGGAGGATACCTCCTTACTTCTGGCTTCTAGGAGTTTGCCTGTAATCCTTGGCATTCCTTAACTTGTAGCTGCATCACTCCAGTCACATAACATCTTCTTCTGTGTATTTTCACTTTGTCTTCCCTCTGTGCATGTCTGTCTCTGTGTCCAAATTTCCTTTTTTGTAAGGATACTAGTCATATGTATGGGGACCCACCTTAATGATTTCATTTTAATTTGATTATGCCTATAAAGACCCTATTTCCAATTAAAGTCACATTCTGAGGTACCGAAGATTAGGACTTCAACATATCATTTTTGGGGGATGTAATTCAACCCACAACACAGCTGAAAACTAGAGGGATGCATGGGAAAGAGGAAACAGCAATTAAATACTTGGGTAAAAGACTTAGGCAAATTTTTTTTTTTCCTCGACACAAGGAAACAAACAGATTTTTTTTTTAAATGAGAAATTTATCGGCCTTCAGCTAGTTATCTTATATGTGTTTTAAAGTACTATACATTTAAATGTAGAAGTGTTAACATTTCAGGAACCAGGTAATCCTAGGTCTAAAAGAGGAGAAATGCCCGTGGAATCCTTTCCTTGGTACAGGTATGCAGTTGTTTATGATTTAGAGAGTGACACTTCTAATTCTATTAAAATAGTAAATTTTTCATAGCTTTGGAATGAAAATGAACATTTGTCATTAGCTTTAAATTTCTTGGGTACCAGTATTTATCTAGTTGATAAATGATAGTATTAACTCTTTTTCCTTATTCCATATGTGGTGAATAATCTCAACCTGAACTTTTAGAATTTAAACATTTCATCAGGGTGTTCTAGACACTGCATAAACTTTACTAAAATAGGAAAGTATACTTTTCACTAATCTGGCAAAAATTAAATTTTAGCAGGCTCTAAGCAGAATAAATTCCCTGACAAAAGAAAAAGGAATTCTGTGGACTCAGATCTGAAAAGCACAAGAGAATCTATGATACCAAAAGCAAAAGAGTCCTTCCTTGAGAAGCGTCCTGATGGACCACATCAGAGAGAAAAATTTATAAAACATATTGCACTGAAGACACCTGGTGGTGTGTTGCGCTTGGAAGATATATCCAAGGAACCAAATGATGAAACTGATCGCTCCTCTGCAGGCTTGGCACCTTCAAATTCTGGCCACCATTCTTCCAGGAATAGTGACCAAATCCGTGTGGCAAGTACCAAAGAGACTAAGATACAGAAACCCCACTTACCTTTACCTCAGGAAAAATCTGCAATTAAAAAAGCTAGCAACCTTCAGAAAAATAAAACTGCTAGCTCTGTGACGTCAAAGGAAACAAAACTTCTACCTTTACTTTCCCATGTTCCAAGTGCTGGTTCCTCTCGGGTACCACTAAATGCTAAAAATTGCACTCTTCCAGTTTCTAAAAGAGATAAAGAGCGTTCCTCATCTAAAGAATGTTCTGGGCATTCTGCAGAATCCTCCAAACACAAAGAACATAAAGCAAAGACTAATAAGGCTGATTCTAATGTATCGTCAGGGAAAATTTCTGGGGAATCTTTGCGTTCAGAATATGGCACTCCTACAAAGTCTCCCCCAGCTGCTTTGGAAGTTGTGCCATGTATCCCAAGCCTTACAGCACCTTCAGCTGAAGTCCCTTCAGATAAAGAGAGTTCAGGAAATTCCAATGCAGGTAGCAATGCACTGAAAAGAAAACTAAGGGGTGATTTTGATAGTGATGAAGAAAGTTTAGGTTACAACCTAGACAGTGATGAGGAAGAGGAAACATTAAAATCACTGGAAGAAATAATGGCTTTGAACTTCAATCAAACTCCTACTACTACAGGAAAGCCTCCTGCTCTTTCCAAGGGGCTTAGATCTCAGTCATCAGACTATATGGTAAGTAGCTCTGTGACATTTATCTTTACCTGAAGAGGGAAAGATGGATTGATTAGTGAAAAGAGGGATGGGTTATTAGAACTTATTTTAAAATTCAGTATTTATTACAACTCATAATTAGACTGAAACTGGTATAATTCTTGTTTGGTAAATCAGTTCCCATATCTTTAGTTTTATTACCGTAAATCAGTGGTCTCCAAACTTTTTTGATCTCAACACACTTCTATTCGTAAAAACAATTTTTGAGCATGTATCCCAATATATATGTATACTTAAAGATTATATACATGTACCACTATAATACTGTTTACTTTCTAAAACGTGCAAAAACAGAATTTAAAAGAAAGAAGAAAAAAATAGGTATTTTCCTATAGAAGTTATGTAGAAGTTACTATAGACTAAGTTCTACTGGAGTTTCTATAGAAGTTCCATATAAATAGAAGTTCTATTATTTTCTTTCTGCACCCCAATGGATCACCTTGCACACCCCCTGCTTTGGAGACCACTGCTGTAAATGAAGGTAGAGTGTAGAAATGTTGTTAATTGTGGTGTGCAATTTTATTTATAAAATGCTTCATTCTATCTTGGGAATAAATTAAATTCTCAGATGTCTGTAAAATTTGGTGGGGAAGGTATTAATATTCCATGGGAACACCTAAAAATTACTAGTTTGATTCCACTAAAATAGAACTTAAAAGTAAAGACAAGGTAGCCACAGAGCTCTTGGGTGTTTGCAGTCGGATCCTAAGCCTAGCAGGGTCTTATAAGTAGTGGATTTCCTAATAGATGGTAAAATCAAATTGCCTACAGTGCAAAATACTAGATTTAAAGCATGATGATGGAAATTCTTCTTTAAGAAAGGTATCATCCTGGCCCAGGTTATTAAAATAGAAAATAGTCTCTAGTACTCTGAATAACTTAAAACATCCTAGTTCTTCTACTAATTTATATTGTAAAGTATTTCTAAATTCTCTTGTTTTAGGAACA